ATACATATATATTATATATACATATACAATATACATATATAATATATGTTAGACTAACATAAATTCTGAAGTCACCTTTATTAAAGCTTTGAAATAAAACCTGTAAATTATTCACTAAAACCATCAGGAATACTGTGTGATGACCAGTAGCACTACATTACACAATGTAGAGTAAACTGGTGGAAATCAACTGAGGACAAGGTCAAAGGAAGGTCAGTGGCAGTTTGATGAAAACTCACATCATCCAGAGTTGAAACGGCTCAAAAAAAGTTGGACTGGACGTGTCTCAGCAGCATTTGGACATATTTTATGACTTTTACACAACAGCACATTAAGTTTCATAATTTGTTTTAAGTAGATTTCGTGCGAGGGCAGCACGGTGGTGCAACTGGTAGAGCTGCTGCCTCTCAGCGAGCAGGTCCCTGGTTCAAATCCCGGTCCAGGGGCCTTTCTGGGTGGAGTTTGCATGTTCTCTCTGTGCATGCGTGGGTTTTCTCCGGGTGCTCCGGTTTCCTCCCACAGACCAAAAACATGCATGTTAGGCTGATTGGTAACTCTAAATTGTCCCTAGGTGTGAGTGAGAGAGTGAATGGTTGTTTGTCTCGTTTGTCTCTATGTGTCCCTGTGATGGACCTAAGACCTGTCCAGGGTGTCCCCCGCCCCTCGCACAGTGATTGCTGGACATGGGCACCAGCGACCCCCGAGACCCAAAATGGAATAAACGGGTAAAGAAAATTGATGGATGGATTTCGTGCGGATTATTTAACTGACAGTTGAGAATGTCACACACTAGTTTTACAAAAAAAAAAAAAAAAAAGATAAATAAAACTCTTCTTACTCCTTTTGGCTTTTAATTTTCCATGTGGACAGTTTTGTCTTTTACTCAGAATGTCTCTCACAACCACAGGACAGAAAGTTGTCTCTCCAGTCAAACGAACTCAACAGAGCTCCGATGATTCTCTCTAAAACCGGAAGTTGTCATTTCTTCTTCATGTGACCATGAATTGAATAATTCAATTTTCTCATGTTTGCGTCTCATTAACCTGCAGTGAGCGACAGACGCAGGCGCGGTTACCATGGTAACAACAACAATAAGCAATGGCAGTAGCTTTAACATTTATTTTGATCTTATTTCTTTTTTACATCAAAATGTAGACTTTATTTCTGATGATCGCAAATTTTAGGGAAGACTCAAAATAGTTTTTCAACAAAGTAAATAGATAAATAGATAAATAAATAAATAAATCAATAAATAAATCAATAAATAAATAAGGCTGTCACTACAGAATTGTCGGACCGACTGAGTTTGCTCATCTTTGTGACAGTTTTCTCGTTCAGGAAAAAACCCAAACCCCGCGTGTTCAGTCAGAACATGCACAGTGACTGATGAAGTGGTTGCGCACGTTTTCTCTGCGCGTCCGTGTTACTAACCCTCCCGGACCCGTGCTCTCCGCAGCAGCAGCTGACAGTCCAATCAGTGTTCCGGTCCAATCAGCTCCTCCCTGCTCTGCGTAAAGCTACTGGGCAGGTCCGGGGCCCGCTTGGCTCCGTGCGCACTTGTGCCAAGAGCCCCTCTGGGAGCGCACCGCGTCAGGGCGAACTTTTACAGCCCTGTTGAGTTTTGGAGCATCTTCTCCATCCCCTCCCCCCTCAGCAGACAACACCCCCGCTCTCCTGGTCTACGATGCGCCTCTGAGCGCCTTTAAGTCCACCAGAGGAGGGACAGGAAGACTCCAGCTTTCCGCGGACTTTTTATTTTGCACGCAGAGATGATGTTCTCCTCCGCGGGGAAGCGCTGCTTCACCATCGAGTCTCTGGTCGCCAAGGAGAGCCCCCTGACGGCCGAGGAGCCCCTCCGCCCCACGGCTCTGACTTACTCCACCCCGAGCAGCGACGCCTTAATGAACAGCTACCCGCCCCCCCAGGCCCGCTCCCTCTACCCGAGCCCGGAGCTGGTGTTCCCGGAGGCGGTGAGCCACCCGTCCCTCACCGTGACCCCGCACCAGCTCGGCGGCTCCCATCTCCAACACCCGCACTTTTTCAACACGCAGCACCGGGACCCGCTCAACTTCTACCCCTGGGTCCTGCGGAACCGATTCTTTGGACACAGATTCCAAGGTAGAGCTGCAGGAGGAGCAGCCGGAAGCGTTTGGATTCTGAGAATTCTAATGAAAGGTCGATCCGAGCAGGAAATGTTCACAAGTTGGAGAAAAGTTCACAGATTTGACCAGAAACATCTTCTGGAGGTTTTGGAAGGAGCGCAAAGATGCGTTTAATTTGAAACCTGTTAGAACAACAGCATCAACAAAATAATAATAATAATAATAATAATAATAATAATAGCAATCACATATTCTTTAGCCCAAATTAACTATATGCGGATTGTTTGGGTTTTTTGGCTTTTGAACGTTTTGCTCAGAAAATGAGATATTCCAATAATAAATAAATAAATAAAATATTAAAAATCTCCACAGATGAAAAAAATACCTTCATGACATTTATTTATCGTTCAAAGGCTGAATAATTAAATCATTTATTTTTAATGAGAGTAAAAGGACAAGTAATAATAATCGAATAAGATTCTGTGAAAATAATATTTAAAAAAACATATGGAATTGTTTTTTGAATAAAAAATATTTCCAAGCTGAACAGAAAACTATTGTGCAGTCCAGTCCAGTGTTTTTCTTCGACCCCCTCAAAACCCAATAAACTCCAATATTTTTCAGCCTCACATCTCACAACTTTAAAACTAAAATTAGATCGAAAATTTTAATTATTCATAAAAAATGAAACACTGTTTGTGCGTAATCTTTCTCAAAGGATAAATTAAACTTTAGCGGTAATATTTCTACCCTGCAGGTGATTTTACAGATCAAAGATATCATTTCAACATTTGTTTAATAGAATAAAAAGATAATCCTTTATTATCCGTGGTGTGTTTTAGGTCGGACTGCCTGGACAACATTGAACCCGTCAGGGACAGCAGCGCACATCTGCACAATTATTCAAAAACATAAAAGCTTCAAAGAAAAAGTTAAGCGCCAGATGTAAATATTATGAAGTGATCAATGACAAGTTGAGGCTAAAACTTGTGTTTAGATAATTATGAAGAGAGACATGAATGGCGGGATAATTACAGGCTGCTTTTGTAAAGACTAGTTCATTATGTGTAGAATAAAGCTTTGTAAGGAGAGGCGGTTAATAAAAACAAATGGATATTCATGATGTGCGCAGTAAAATCACGCATGTTCAAGGCGCACACAAAGTTTTGCACCTGCGCGGTCACGATCTGCGGTTTAAAGCTCAAACATGCTTTGTGGCTCATTTGAGTAAAAGCACTTTCATTCATTAAATGTGGCCTTGTTTGCTGTTTCCACGCGGCTGCAGGTAACGACGTGTCCCAGGACAGCCTGCTCCTCCACGGGCCCTTCGCCCGGAAGCCCAAACGCATCCGGACGGCCTTCTCCCCCTCGCAGCTCCTCCGCCTCGAGAGAGCCTTCGAGAAGAACCACTACGTGGTGGGAGCCGAGAGGAAGCAGCTGGCCAGCAGCCTGAGCTTGTCCGAAACACAGGCGAGTCTTTCTTGATCATTTCAAACATCTGGATGTTTGAATCGTTTCACCTGAACACTTTCAGGAGCCCAAAGACGGGCGGCCGATAAGACGCACACAAAACACGTCAAAACATTATTATTAGTAGTATTATTATTATTATTATTACTATTTTATTATTATTGTTATATTATTATATTATTATTATTATTATTATTATTATTATGGTTGTTGTTATTGTTATTACTATTATTTTATTGTTATTATTGTTGTTGTTATATTATTATTATTATTATTGTTGATATTGTTATTATTATTTTATTGTTATTATTGTTATATTATTATTATTGTTGTTATTGTTGTTATATTAGTATTATATTGTTATTATTATTATCATTATTATTATTGTTGCTATTATTAAGGGTGCATATAAACCATAAAATGTATATAAAAAATATATTTTTGTTTTACAAATTAAATTAGTCCAAAGTAAAACAGAACTGTCTCCTAACAATTACAAATCAACTAAATGAATAAAGTCAACTTATTTTTGCAAAAATAATATTTACCAAGATCCCACGGAGGTGTTTAAGTCATGCGTGGTCTACAGCAGTAACGTGTCTTACGTGCTCCTTTCAGCCTACAGTTGAGCTGCACAAACAAACTGTAAAGAAAGTGATTTGAGGATCAGCTCACAAAGTGTTTGATACTTTTGTCATCAAGTACCGGACTGAGATTCGAATACGAGATCAGGGGTTTGCAACTTGCGGCTCTGGAGCCACATGTGGCTCTTCAGTTGTTCTCAAATGGACCAAACGTGACATGAACCTGAGCAATGTTTCAGTTTAAATTCATGATATTAACATTTATTGTCAGGAGGTCCGTCCGGTTGGTTGGGCTGCTCGTATGAGCTCTTTTTTTAAAACAGGGTTAGCTCACGTAATAATTACAAAGGAACTTTGTGCACAGCCTCCCATCATTTCTGCACCAGAAAGAGCTCATTAGGGCTCAAGTTTTCACAAGATTTTATATTTTAAACGTGTGTTTAAAATGCAGTGACCAGTTTTACTATCGAGTTAATAGATTGTTGGCCAGTTCCTTCTTTGTTTAACGGCCTGACACACCGTGCTCGCTCGCTGTTTCCACTAAAAAGAAAAAGATTTCAACAAACTTCATCTGAAAAGAAGTTTGCACACATTAAATAACTCGATTTTAAAGCATCAAAAATATAATATACATCAAATTATATAATATAATATAATATAATATAATATATCAGTTAAATAAAGATAGCCTTTTTTGAGGGTATTTAAAAAATATAAAAAATAATACAATGAAATGCTTATGTTTTCTAAACAGAATACTTATTTTATTCATTCTCCATAAATGAGTCAATTAGGTCTGTACAAAGAAAAATACATTTGTACAGAATAAAACAAGTAGTTGTGTTTATTTTTGTGTAAAGATCTACATATTTTTTTACTTTATCCCTAAAACTTAGAAACAAAATGTAGAAGGCACATTACTTGATAAACACAAAACGACATGAGACTGTGAGCCTTGTGGCATGAGTTCTTGTGTTTCTCAAAGATGTGCCCTTTTTCCTGTTGCAGGTGAAAGTGTGGTTCCAGAACAGGAGGACCAAGTACAAGCGGCAGAAGCTGGAGGAGGAGGGTCCTGAGAGCCAGCAGAAGAAGAAGGGGAACCACCACATCAACAGATGGCGCATCGCCACAAAGCAGGCCAGCTCTGAGGACATCGACGTGACCTCAGAGGACTGAAACCCCGTGTCCCTTCTGATGCACCGAGGACCAAAACTATTTATTATGTTGTGTTCATGAAGTGTAATTAGACACATTAGACAAAGACTGAAGGTCGCATGCTGACTGTGACACAGAAGAAACACGTCTGAATGTTTGTGGATTGGGGGTTATGGTGTCATTTCAGGAGCTTTGTTCTGTGGGACAGCCAGCAATGAAGGGAAAGTCAACCTGTACCAAGGTGCTTTTTATTGTACATATAAGGCCGTAATGAAGGAAGTGACTTCTGCTGTTTTTATCCATCGCATGGTCACCCCCCACCCCCACACGCTCACTGTTGATTCATTTTTTCCCAAAAGAAGAGAAAATGTGTGAATACGCTGGAGATTGGACAGTCCAACAAAACAGAACATTTCTGGGAGATCCAAACTCGCCGCGCTCTGCATGACTTTTTGTTTAACGTTGTGACTCGAGAGCCGAGGGCTTCGTTTCAGCTGCTGAAGATCATTTTTCAGCCACTCGGGACCAGCTGTGTGTGCATCTGGGACAGAATAGAAGCAGCTTCATGCTGGATCCATCAGTGATGGATGATGTCTGCTGAGTGTACGAAGCCCTGCGTGTACAATAAAACCTATAAGAATGCAATTTTTGAGCAAAGTGCTTTACAAAGAAATAGTTTAGGGAAAAAATCCTCAGATTAGGAATGGTGCATCTTTGGTGTAATTCAGGTACAGGATGTCATTTGGTCACGACAGCCTCTCATTAGGTCCTGTCCAGCTGAAGGTGCATGTGCAGATGAGTGTGAAACCTGCTGCTCCGGTCAGTGTGTGTGATTGGAGTGAAACCCTGCAGATGCTCTGTGAGCAGGATGCAGGTTCAGATGTGACTGCAGGGGGATTTTTCATTTTCAGCTTGCTTTATGGTTACAACTGAAAAATGACATTTTTATACAAAACGGGACAACTAAATGAACATTAGAGAAATTTTGAAGAAATGGTGACGAGAGCGGAAGCAGCTCAAAATTCCAACAAACTTTGCAATAATCCAAGCGTAGACCTTGTTTACATGAATGATCTCCTGGCATTAGATGTTCCCATGTTAATTGTGAAAACATTCTGTAAACCTGCCAACATTCTGAAGAAACTGTCAGAAGTATAAAGATCTTAAAAAATGTTAAAGCTGCTGTCAGTGGCTCATTGTGGTCACCGTAGTAACTACACACCTGTGTCTGTCACTCCCTGACTGCCATGTTAACGAGAGGCAGACAGAATCAGACTGAAAAGTAAACCTCAGTCACTGAACCAAGACAGATGCTTGGAGTCTTAGTATTTTATGGAAGAAAAATGACAGAAAAACATAAAGAGCCTGCAGTGAGACACACTGAGACAAAAATGCCTGTTCTGATGTAAATTTGTGTCCCTAACATAAATGTTTGGGAATCAAAAGAAACTATTCACATAAAATTATAAAATTTTAGACATCTTAGGAGTTAGTATGTGATGTCATCAGCTATCAGTGGAAAATATGTCATAAGATTTGAGCTGTAATTGTATAAAACCTGTAAAAAGTATCAAAACACCAGTTTAAGGTCACACTTATTGTGACCCGTTTAAACTTTGAATGATGTTTCTACTTTGAATTAGGTCTGAGCTGCAGACTTTCAAAAAGAGATGGCTTTCCCCCAAAACCCCATTGATCCCCATTCTTTTCTTTCTCACACGGTTCTGATAATTCAGTTCAATTCAATTCAGTTAATTTATAAAGCGCCAAACCACAACAAAGTTGTCTCAGGGACTTTACAGAAACATTCACATAAAAGCCAATTAGTGAAGTTCTCTATCTCAGAAAGCCAGCACTCGTTGAATCTTCACTTTGCCACAGTCTCCCATCCTGAACAAGCACAGTGGAGACAGTGGAAAGGAAAAACTCCCTTTTAACAGGAAGAAACCTCCAGCAGAACCAGCTCAGGACAAGCGGCCATCTGCTTTGACCGGCTGGTTGAGAGGACAGGAAGGAGAGACAAACTGTTGGTGCAGCAGTCCTTTCAGCAGGAATCATCTGCCAAACAAGATGGAGGGAACTGCTGCCCAGTGACCCCCGGCTTCACACAGGCCCCCTTTTGTAAGTTTAGAGGCACAGACAGCCGAGTTATGGGAGTAAAATTCACAGCAGCAGTGTTTTTCTTTACAAAGGTGCACAAAGCATCAGACATCTGGAGGTGCACAGGGGTCACATGGTTTGTTTTGAGTTCCCATGATACCCTATATGTGCTGCAGGTGCAAATATGTGCTAAAAGAACATCACGACTATCTAAATAAACATCCAGAAGGTTCTGAGGCTCACAGTGATGAATACGAACTGAACAAGAAAATTGTCCAAGGCCACTCATCCTGGTTTGTCCTGGTAAAATGTTAGCATAATTAACACCTCTCTGCTTTCTGTTAGGACATGAATTAGGTGGAAAATCACTCTCATCTCACTAAACACAGCATCTGAGTCAGCAGGCAAGAGACTTGGTGGGAATCCTTGGTGAGAAACAAAAATCCCTCCAGATGAGCAGAGTGCTGAGAAGTGGGGGAAGGTGGACTCACTGAATCATAACTAGTTTAATGAACAACTAGTTCACTCAGCGTTATCTGATTTCTTCCTTTAACTGGGTTGTACTGACATTTTTACGTCAACAATGTTTTTCTAAATGCTAATTTAAAAAAGTACTTGGTCACACAGCAAACATTTGCAGTTCAAACATTTTGAATCACAAGATGTTCACTGTTCCATGTGGACAACAACAAAATAAAAATAAAGAGCAGAGGATATGAGGGTGCAAACATCTGATTCAAAGTGTGACAATATTCCAACAGAAATCAGATGGATTGTTTTAGGATTTGGTATGCTCAACACCAGACGTGTTTTCATCTCTCATCTCAACTGTGTGACGTAACTCACCGTTAAGCAGCCTTCACTGGTCCTGCAGGCAGTCTCTTGTCATATTACGCTCCACTGCAACCTACACTGTCCCCACAGCAACCACACCAATCACACAGATTACAACGAAAGGCAGAAAGGAACAACACAAGGATCCACATCTATACACAGCCTTATTTATAACATTTTATTATAAACTTTCTTCTTCTGTGCTCTACGGCAAACTTTAATAATTTATTTGAACCATTATTTAACCAAGATGGAATGATCATCGGTAGCACGGTGGCACAGTTGGTAGAGCGGCCACATCTCAGCGAGTAGGTCGCCTCGGCTCAAATCCTGGCCGGGGGCCTTACTGGGTGGAGTTTGCATTCATTCAACCTTTATTTAAACAGGTTATGTTCTCTCTGTGCACGCGTGGGCTTTCTCCAGTTTCCTCCCACAGAACAAAAACATGCATGTTAGGCTGATTGGTAACTCTAAATTTTCTCTAGGTGTGAGTGAGATAGTGAATATTGTTTGTCTCGTTTGTCTCTATGTGTCCCTGTGATGGACCTGTCCAGGATGTCCCCCGCCTCTCGCACAGTGATTGCTGGACATGGGCACAGGTGACCCCTGCAACCTGAAAAGAAAAAAGCGGGTAAAAGATAATGGATGGATGGATGGATGGATGGATGGATGGATGGATGGATGGAATGATCATCAGCAAACCACTTCAAACAATTTTCTTTAATTTACACACAGGCTCAAATATACACTCCCACTATTCTTTGGTTACATGTCCTTTTAACTAGTTGCAACCTTACTCCACCACACTTTTTCAATAGTCTTCTGGCATAATTCTGGCCAGTTTTGACCCCTCTTATTGGCAGAATTGGTAAAGTTATTTAAAACTGGTTGGTTTATTGGAGCAGACCTGACTTTTAAGCATAATCCACACATTTTCAATGAGGTCGGGACATTGGGAAGGTCATTCCAGGAGCCCAATGTCAGCCTGTTTAATTCAATCAGAAAGCAGTCTTGTGTTTGAAGGCATCTGTGTCCGCAAACAGATGCACGATTGGCTGGAAATTCCAGCCAGTCGTGCTTTTCTAAATGTGACCTACGAGTGACGTGTATGCGTTTGTCTCAGAACAACGGCCATGATTGGCTGAATAGTCCGCTGTGCCCGCCCCATGAGTGAGGAAAAGAAAAAAGAAAAGAAGAAGAAGCAGAGCCGGTCTGAAAGCAGACCATCACTACTATAGTGCATCAATAGATTTGTTATTTTGGTTATGACAGGTGTACGATAATTTCCCTCAAAATACGATAATTTTATGTTTCTAGTATGATAATCCTACATTTCTCACCTGGCAACACTGGTGTGAAAGCTGTGTGCCATGTGGTGGAAATAAAACCACCTGAAAATCACCAGACGTCCTCCTTCTTCTTAGAAAGCATGTACACACGCGTGCACACACACACACATACACATCATTGTGTCCCCTCCACAATACGGATGCTTCTGACGCCCTTGTGTTGGACAAACAACACTGTCCAAGTTTCACTCATCAAGCTGTGGATCTGAGGTGAAGTTGAAGAATTTGAAGGTAGTCCTCCTCCTTCCTGCAGTGCAGCAGTATCACACTTGGCACAATGATCTTAGATTTCCTCACCTCGACTCCTGCAAACATACTTTTTGTCTCCGGGGCCACATACTTTGTCTCATCTTGACCATAACACTTTTCTCCAGAAGGCATTCGGGTTGTGGACAGCAAACTGTGGTGTCTTTTTTGGTCAGCACCCTCTCAGTCCATGTAGGGACACTGGTCTTTTAGTAGTTTTCATTTCAAGGCAGACTTGAGTCTAGGTGTTTCTTTGTTTGTTTCTGAAGGTCAATTCAATTCAGTTTATTTATATAGCGCCATATCACAACAAAGTTTTCTCAGGTCACTTTAAAGGAACATTCACATACGGCTGTGGCTGAGTGGTTAGAGCAGCCATCCTCTAATGCAAGAGTTAGTGGTTCTAATCCACCAGCAGTCACATGCTGAAGTGTCCCTGGGCAAGACACTGAAGCCCTCATTGCCTCCGATGTGTGTCCCACTGGTGTGTGATCTCAACGCACTGATTAGTGTCTTTTGAATGATTTGTTCCATTAGCTGTGTAGAGATCTAGTAGAGTGCTGTATGAATGGGTAAATGAGGACACAGATTGAAGTGTAAAGCACTTTGAGTGTCTGGATAAGAAAGGCGCTATATAAATGCAGTCCATTTACCATTTGCATACATAGAAAAGCCAATTAGTAAAGTTCTCTATCTAAGGAAGCCAGCAGATTTATTGAATCTTCACTTCGTTGCAGTCT